TACCCTGATGACATCATTTGTGCAGTATCATGCTGGAACACAAGGATATCATTGCTGATGAATGCCATGTACCGGCATTTCATATATGGTTATGTGTCTTTGTGTAACAGCAAACAGTTTCCAAATGTCAGTGGAGCAATTTGCGGAACCTCATGTTGTCAATCAATCAGTTTCAATGTAAAAAATAAAATTGTGGTCCAGGACAATGGATGAAGTTTTCTAAAAATGTTTTCTCTTGGTTAAGGAGCATTTTTTCTTAAAATAAATGAATGAAAATAAACCAAAGATATCCAGTAAAATATCAACTCCATATTTCTGTAACCCTCTTTTCTTGATCGTTGGTGTTCCCAAGTTATTCCGGGCTGTGGGTAATTAGCGAGGCTACAACATTTGTTTCCTCCTCTTCATTTAATTTTTACCAACACGACAAGACAGTGCTAGCACATCCCAACTTTGGGGTACAGCAACTTTACTTCACTGTCTCGTAACTGTTGAGTATCACTCATACCTGTCCCCACAAAACAAGGGCAGGTAGGAACCACTTAGCTCATACCCAAGGGAACACACTTAACTCCACTTAAACACTGACAATTAAATGATAATTTACCAGTAACTCAATAATGCTGCTGCTTAAATATAAATACTGTACCCATTATTAATAGTACTGTAACTTAAGTAATTAAAAATAACCCCATAATATAATGTGTGCAGTAATTATGGTTACATTTCCTTGAAAGTTCACATCACTAATGAGCTTGACGTTAACATGCTCCAAAAGCCACATGCTGATGTACTTTTTTACTTTTCCCAACTTTACTATCGCACAACCCCCCCAAAGTGTGAGTGGGCAGGCTTACGTCATTGTTTGGGAAAAGCTCCATTTTCTCCCCACACACACACTAAAAGAACAAGCTGGCATTTTAACATCTACCCACTCTGGTTGACTTTATGAAAAGGCTCCCTTTTTGGGTGAGGAAAAACACTAGTTCAGCACGGACAGAGGGCTGCAAGTGAGCTAAAAAGATTTTTTTAAATGTAAGCGTCTTAATATGGACATACTCTTAATCGAAGCATGGTTACACGTACGTTGATCTTTTATAGACTGTCCACGCAGTGCAGTTGCTCAACACAGCCACTCCCATTCCCCCTGGATCCTATTGTGAATGGGTGCAGTGAGCTGGCTCATTGGGCCCTCATGGTGAATGGCCAGCAGCCATTCACTCAGCATACAGAAGCTCATTAGAACTCTATAGACACACAATTGTGAGGCTCACATTAGAAACTTCCTCCTCTGAGGCACAGACACCACACACAAAGTGCCAGTTTGCTGCTAAGCTAAGCGCATTGTCTTCCTGATTCATAGAGCTTGGCCCTCCATTCACGATATTAAGTTCGAGTGGTGGAATATCAATTGCGTGTGCAATGGGCCGGTATCTTTTTAAGAGCTTTAGTGGGGTTAAAAAAGAGAGAAAAGGGATCTCAGCCGGTCTGCAGAGTGCTTGCTTTCAACAGGGCCATTGTGAGGATGCTGAATGAAGGGACCCCTGTTTTTTTCCCTCCATTTCTGAAAAGAGATGGACATCAAATAAATTCACATGAACTTGCTTCAGGGTGTTTCCAAGACCCACTGTTTAAGAATAGCCTAATTATACCTCCCTCTCCTAGAGAGCCCTATTGGAATCTGGCTAATTACAAAGTGGTGAATCTTAATGATGATACGCTCTTAGCGATGCCTTTTAAAATGTGCACAGAAGTTGTGTGAGACCGGTTCTCCCTAAATTGTCGATGAACACAGAGAAATATATGATTCTACAAGGAATTAATTATGCTTTTAGCTGGTTTTGAAGTGCTTGTTACAACTTTTAAAGTTTCTACACGTTCTTATCGTTGCTAAAAGGCTATCTGAAGTGGAAAGAAACTGTGGCTGTGAGAATGAACTAAGCAAATATCCTCAATGTTATCACATAAAACATATGTTGACCACTATCAGGGTCCGTTCAAAGTGTAAACAAATACTGTAAATAAAGGCACAGAGAGCAGTCTGGGGTTCCCTTCTGTTTGCTCTGTCATATAAACAAATGACTCTCCACCAAACAAAAAGCCCTGGGGTACTATCACAGCCACCGTTCCATGTGGAGCATGTTAACACACACACACTCACTAAACAAAAGTAGATAGCGCACAGTCATGCTAACACTCATCATGTGACAGCGTGCTATGCCTTCTCCACCAGTCTGAGGAATAAAACCTCAAATTTGATTACAAGCAACCTTTGGCTCCCTGGCCATCGCACAATAGGCCGAGCTGTCTGGGCCAATTTCCATGCTCAGCATGAGGTATCTACACGCGCAGACTGGAGCTCCCTGACACCCCCCCCCCCCTCAACAACCCCCCCGACCAGTGTGGATATGCCTGTTTACTGTGCCTAAACTCCGGGTCTGTCGCCCCTCTTGTTGGACTTTCTATTATGATGCTGAGGATCATTAGTTGCAGTGTGAAAGGTTACACAAGCCTCTCATTGGACGTGTTTGTACCAAAACATTACTACATGCATGTGTGTGTGTTCACGTGACCGGTTTTATTTTACAGTTGCAAACCTCAAATATGCAGCATATGTGTATGTGTGGATTTCGGAGGGGGGCCTGCAGGGACACATCCTCCTCAACATTTAGAATGTGTGCATTTGTTTCTCCCCAATTAATAGTACATTTGATGCAGAAAAGGCACAAATCAGTGCATGAAATTTCACCAGAGTTCATAAAATCAAGTGTAAGATGCTCAAACTTTTCTGGCAGAGGACCCCCAACCCCTGTTCCATATGTGCCCCTCCAAAGTGGAAACAAAACCTACGCCCTTGAGCATATGCCCCCACTACACTGAAGACTGGCACTGAATATCTAAGTGGTTGAGTCCGCTGCCTGTGGAGCTGCATGGATCTCTCAATGCCAACCTAGAACTGAATCCTATCAGGACTTAAAGACCTCTGTAAAGGTAAAATAAAACTTTTGTCTGACTGGAAACTTAACTACATAGCCCAAAAGTTACCAATTATGCTTTTAATTCCTAAATAGATCTTGTTGTGACATGGTGTTGTTCAATATACAATAATATTGTTGTGATATAGAAACATCACACAATGTCAAAACTGTCTCTGAGTCTGTGACTATCACGTGAAGCACAGTTGCATCCACAAAAACATTTTAATTTCTATATAATGTTCAATTTTATAACTTTCATTTTAAAGAATTTAGTATGTCATATGGAATTATAAATATCATTCCTATGTGGCCATTGCACACAAGTGAAAAATGCTAGGTTTACACTAAACTGATTGAGAAATTAAACTTTCAAGGAATACTTCACTCACCAAATGCCCATTTGTAAATCCATCATGCTGTGCTACCTTGAATTTGTGAAGAATTTTTAACTGTTTCTTGCATGCCTCCACGGAACCTTATGATTTATTGATTGATTGGGAACCACTTTCACAACAGCAAAACTGTATCAAAACATACATTTACAAACTCTGACACAACTCCTGCAGGATAATCCAAGTCTAATTTATCCAATCGTATGGTCAGTCCTTTCCAAATGCATGAAATTTATGGAATTTTTGCATGATTTGGACTCAGAGATCATTACCAACTGTAAGCCCCTAACTCATCACTGTATCCTGTATACTCAGGTTGGCTGGCTCTCTTTACAATTTCGTAGACTTTTTCATTGGCATTTTCTTGTTCACAAAGCTATTGAGCAAAAAATGAAAATGGCTGCTCTCTGCTCTCTCTCTCAGTTTGGCAAGAGAGCATTTATGTATGCAGCTCTTCATGTGTGGAATCCTCTGCAGAAGGGCTTAAAGTTGCACTCATTGGTTCCTCTCATTTTTATGGTTTATTTCTAGTATATATTAACACTTTTTGGTTTTGTGTTTTATATTGCTTGTTTTAGAGATTTACATTTTTATTCTGTATTTTACTTCCACATTGTCTGTCTGTAACTTATGTTGCTGCCTGTCTTTGCCAGGACACTCTTTAAAAGGAGATTTTTAATCTCAAGAGGTTTTTTCTGGTTAAATAAAGGTTAAATATAAATAAATAAAATAAGATTTTTGTTAAACACTACTATTTAAACCAAATTGAAAGTGAAACTTATCTCTGCTTTCTTCAACACCTGACTCAAATACTAAAGTGCAAGTGAAAATGCATGTGTTTGGGAAGTACTAAGCACACAACTGGAGAAATGAGACTTGGATTATACTGCACGAGTTGGGTAAGACTTTGTAAAGGGACGTTTGATGTAGTTTGCTGTTGTTAAATGTGGTCCCAAATCAATCAATAATACATGTGCTGTTTTCCATGAAGGCAGGCGAGAAAAAAGTTTTCTTTACAAATTAAGGGTAACACTGGGTGATTAACTGATATACAAATGGTCATTTTGTGGGTGAAGAATTACTTGAAAAATAATGTAGTCATCTTGTAAGGCTGTGTAATGCCATATTTCTTAAAAGAAAGTCAAACTTTCCCTTTCATCAGCTTCATGCAGGAGAAAATGTCCTGTTTTGAAATTCAATTACATTATCCTGTCTCCCCATATTTATTCACACCAACACGGCCTGTATTTTAATTATTTTGAAAACCCTCACAGAGCAATGTTTCTGGAATGAAACTGAAAAAAAGCACATTGCAAATGAACTGCTCAGGGGTTTGAATGAGGCACAATGGGAGGCAGGAGAAAAGAGAAAACTATTTACTACTGGAGAAGACTGTTTGGTGCATGTTAAACTTTGGCCAGCAGTTCATTGTCTCTGGTGTCTATCATTTAATAGGCTAGTTGACATAATGAATGAGCCAGACCCACCTTCTGCCACTCCAGAAAGGCCCCAGCCTTATCTGAATTGAGAAGCACATTAGAGCCTCTCAGCCAATCACGACGCAGCCCCGTAGCAAAGTGCAGGCCCGAAAGAGGAAGAGCAGAGAACTTTTGTTTTCCTCAGAGTTTAATGAAGTTGGCCTGGTCACTCAAGAAGGGATTAAAGGAGAATTTAGTGTCACTGAGCTGTGACTGCTGAAGAGGGAACTCAAGTGTTCGGGTCACTGTGTGAACAGGATGGTCTCAGTTCAGAGCTGCACCAGGAGGAATATGGCTGGCTCTCCTCCTGCTTTACCAGGCTTTGGGAACTCTGGAAAGAGTTTTCTTATTGACAATCTGCTGCAGTCACAGACACCTTCAGCCCGTCCAGAGGGGACGGCAGGTGGATACCTGAGACGAGCAGCGTGTGAACGTCCGAGGAGAACCTGGGTGTCTGAGCATGGAGCCTACCAAAGCCAGGCCCACAGTCCCCAGCAGGGGAAAGATTTAGGAGGACCACTTGTGCCGCAAGGTAAACAATTTTTTTTAATGCAAGCAGACCTCAAACTAAATCTAATATATTTAGATAATGTCAGGTATTTTAAATGTGATAAAAGTTACAAAGTTGCTCTGTGTGACATGCTGATAGCAATTATGGTTTTGTTCTTCCACAATTCTTCATTCTAACTCGTTATATTCATATAAAGGATAATATTGTTCAACTTGTTAAATTTCATAAATTCTTCAATTTTAGGCTGGAAATTATTCATAGATCTAAAGCTGAATTTAGATAGATTATATGCATCTTGGTAAAGGATGTTAGAGATAAGCATAAGTCACAGAGACGCTGCCATTTTTGCAACTTTTATGAAATAACTTGATGATTTAAAAAAATGATTAACCACTGAAATTTCCCTCCATTGCGTTTGCAAAAATTCCTAGTACATATTACCAGGTACTACCAAAGTAAGAAAAACTTATACCTTACATTATGAACCATATTTTCAAATGAGAATATAGATCTTATTCACTGATGTAAGAATTTTGTGAAATCTAACTTCTGATATGATTGTGTACATCTAAATGTAACAAAATGTATTGAAATTTAATGTAAAATATATTAAATATAATTTATAAAAGAAAATCTGACAAATAACATTTTCTAACTTTGATATTTGATAACAGATCAAATGCTTTGATTATACATATAAGATTATTCATGATACTTGATAAGAAATAATGACTGCAAAGAAAAATAAGATAAATGTTTAAAATTAAATTACTATAAACCTGTGCAAGCTATGTGATTAAATTAATTTTCAGATTATAGCGTGTTCACTGACAGAGTTGGGTTATTTTTTAAACATTTAATTTTCAAGCTGAATCTGTAAATAGAGTCTGTCTCTTAGATTACACGGTTTTAAAAACATAAATATCAAACAAAAATAGTTGCGTCAGTATGCATCACTTAAAGCTCATGCTGTAAACATTGAGATAACAAAAGTTAGACAAGACATGACTCCAAGTGTCTTCAGAAGTGGGCGGTGATCCAGGTAAAGTCCCTTGTGGATCATAAAGGCCTCACCTGGTTACTTCACGACCATATCCGACTGTCCCTATCTCTCTTTGCAGGTGTACTGAGCAGTGTTTTCCTGCGGAGCCCACAGTATCTCCTGGCATGCTGCGGTGGGTCCAGCCCCCCTCCTGTCTTCTCCAGTGAGTGTTTTATGCCTCATCAGCAATGCCTCAGCTACTCTCTAAGCATTAGCAGCAGGGTCTCCCATGCTTTCCACAGCTAATTACTGATGCAATGCCAAAGAGCTAATTCTCCGCTCAACTCTGCACGGCTCTATTCATAACCATTCACGGCTGTTTAGGATGGGGAAGAGGGGTGGGTTGCAAGGCTTTTAAGAGTCCCCGGGGCCCCCTATTTTGTACTTGCAAATACACACTTTTACTAGCACAAATATGCAGAGCTAATAAACATCTTGTCTTCTGTCATATTAAGATTATAATTACCAGGTGTGAATTCCTACTGCTGAATAGGGCAGATTGTTTCAAAGCTCACTCCCTCAGCACATTAATAAGTTTGGTTGAGAATCCCAGCAGCTTCAAGTTTAATTTTCAGGCTCATGAATTTTGAAAACTTTCAGAAAACCTGTAATTGCACGTGAAATATTTAAATTTTCCTCTGAGTTGTGCTTGAAGTGTTTCAGTTCATATAACGTAAGACTTGAGTAGAGTGCTACATCGCACTCTAGTAGTGTTAATTAATTAAGACAAGCAGCTGTCTTATTTTGGCACTCTCCCACAGCAATTGGAAGTTATTAGTTTCTGCAACCTATGATGACTGTCAGATGTTGTGGAAAACAGCACAAATCAGAAAGCCTTCATCCCCCAGGTCCCTGGAGTCCTCTTAGTAGGCTGACACTTTCCCACAGTGCCCAGCAACACAACAATGCCAAGTCTGGCCGTGACCAATTGGCACTTTCACTCCACCATCCACACGCGACCTCACTGCAATTTTTCACTGCAGCAATGAACTCCGCTGAGCACAAAAAACTTGTCCATTTCTCTACAGAAGAGGGCTGGACCAGGAACATCCCCCGGCCATTGTGTGGCTAAAGAGCTTGGTCCGCCAACCCCCCTCCTTTCTCCTGTCCTTCAACTCTCATTCCTGCCCATTGGAGACTTCTTGACTAGGACATAAAGCATTCAATGAAAGTGACTTTTATAGACTTATTCGAGCTCATCTTCACATACAAACTGGCTTCATACCTGCAAGTGAAAAGATTTAGTGTTGGGCCACTGAGCCATCGAGTAATGGTATTTCCATTGAACGGCTCTATTGTTGGTGTCCTGCAGGGCTCTATGGTTGGCCCACTAGGGCAGACACACACGTTGCCCAGGGATGACCTGGTAATCAGCTATTTAAGTGAAAGCCATTGAGTCCCAATAGAGAAGTGAGAAGCATGTCCAAACCTGTTATGTGCTCCCCAGAGGTGGTCTATGTGCAGATTTGTCGTACAGATTAAAAAGGCAACATTGAATGGATCGGATAAATTGTTCCACTTGACTTTTGTTGTGCGTGCACCTGTGAGTGAAGTAGCGTGGGATTGCTCCTCACAGTTCACCAAATCCCTTTTTCTCAGTTGAAGAGGCTTTCTATTCTCTTTAGTCACCCCCAGTTTGTTAAATTGGACAAATAGAAAAAAGAGAAATCAAATGTGAGTGATAAAGTGAGTGTGACAATAACAGGCATGATCTAGGGTTGAAAAGGTAGGAAATGTGGTATGGTTGGTAAAGTGTGCATACTGATTGCGGATAGAATTGAAATTTGTGCCTCACTGTCTATATCATTAAACCCTTGACAAAACGATCTATAGCCAGATTAGCCAGTAATGTGCTGTCTCATCTCAATTCACTACACACAACCTCTGTATTCCCCTGACTGCTATTTGTACCCCCGTTATATATATTACTTCACTTTGCGCAGTCCACAAATGACAACTTCTGATCAAAGACCCATATCTCGCTGATGATAATATGGCAGCTTGGATCAAAACACTGCTCCACAAAATACCATCCATCTCCGCCCCAAGCAATACTCAAACATCGACCAAGTCTGAAAGAGAGATTAATAGGAAAATAATATAAAAATAATTAACCACCATCACATTTTCACCTGCCTCCACACTGCTTCCTGCTGTTTACTAACCTATTTTCAGGCTTGTCCAAATGTTGAACATAATACACTACTAAACAATAATAAACAAAACAAAAAAAAACCCAGAAAGGCATGCTTGTATGCTGCAGAGCCTTGCAGTCTACTGACTATATTTAGCAAGCCTCCTATTTTAAAAAGAAAATCTTTGTACACCTGCTTATTCTGGTGGAAAAGGGTATGACTTTAACATATGATTTATGTTTCAGAGGGAGCAAATATTCGAATGTGGTCTGCCGATATAAGTCCTAAGTCACGCAGAGGGATCCTCAGGAGGGCTGTGTTCTCTGAAGAACAACGGAAGGAGCTGGAGAGAACTTTTCGGAGACAGAAATACATCAGCAAGACAGACCGGAACAAACTGGCAGCTGATCTCAGTCTCAAAGAGTCACAGGTTAGACAAAGAGGGAAGGAATCAATTCATTTTTGCCTGATTAACCTCTGATTCTAAAAGATGTTAAGCAGAAAAAAGAAACACCTCTATACATCCTTTAATTTTACAGCTCAGACGTGACAATAGCTGAACTCAATGCCTTTCCATTCTCCCGTTGCTTTAGGTGAAGATCTGGTTTCAGAACCGTCGAATGAAGTGGAGGAACTGTAAGGAGAAGGAGGTTCATAACACCCGTTCCCCAATGGATGAGCTCATGGCCCGAGGTCTTGCTCAGGAAGAGGAAGAACCATCACAGCATCACGCTGACGCAAAAACAGAGAGGTCGCCATCACAGAAGAGTGTCAGGGACACATGAGAGGCTGTAATGAGCAGAAAGTAAACCAAGGACTTCCTCAAATCCACAAAAACCAGTAAAAAGGCTACGATACTGGGAGGGTGTTAAAAATATGTGGATGGAATACACTTTCTATGAAGACTAACACTGATGATATTTACGTTTCCATGCATGTAGACGTCTTGTTGCATCATAAATGTAATTAGGTTCAACTGCTGAGTCAATCATCTTATTGCGTTTTGCTGGCTTCAGTAAGCAATTTATTAGTTATTACACTGACAAGTCTTTCCAGGAAAGATTCCCACTCTTCGATTGTAATTGCAATCAGTTAAATGCGCAAATGAGTCACGTCATTTCAAGCATCTGCATATCAGACTGTTATGTTATTATTTCATGTTATGGTCAGCTTTACAGTAATGCTCTGCTCATGATCCAAAAGTGAAGTTAAATTTCACTTAGTATATTTTGTAAATATATTTTTTCATGATCATGGATTCTTAGATCAACTGTAAATAAAGTGTTTCAATGAATCCTCATTTCCATGTTGCTTATTCTTACTGTGCTTAAAAAAACATTTCCATGTTGATGAACACTCCAGTATACACCATCTACCATTTCTATAAATACACAGAGCGTGTGCTCCCCATCAAAAAGAAAATGACCATAAACGATAATGCTTGCTTCAAATTTATTTTTTGGCCTTTTCATGCTCGATGCTTCAATGCAAAATTGTTTGATTACCTATGACAAATATAATACAGACATAATACTGCAAGAGGCACGGACAATCCTCTATAATGAATGCACACATTACAGGACAGTGAGAACATGACATGTAGTTAAAGGCAAATGACAAAAAAAGACTCTCTTATAGTCAGCTAATATTTGAAGATACTACACTAGACTGCTTTGCTATCATTATTAACAGTCCAGTCCAGGAAGGATGGAGCATTTTAGGATACGGAGATAATTTTTGATTTTGTTGGAGTCCCTGCGGAAGCAGTGGAGTAGGTCATGATGGTCCACTGAGTTGAGCTCTCCTTGTTTGTAGAAGGAAAAGGCAGAGGACGGGACTGCACTCTCAGGAGCGATGGATCCCACAGTGTTACTGAGCACTCCCGATAGCTTCATCTGAGGCAGACAGAGGAAACATTGCAGGTACATAATTAATGTTTTAAAGGAATGCATTAGGACACATACAGTGTCACAAAAAAAAAAAACTTGAATAAAGTCATATATTTCAAGTAAAATTAGATACATTGCAAATAAACAAGCCCTAATGCTGCAGTTGGTAACGTTTATAAAAAATAGCTTTTGTCATACTTGCTAAAACTGCCATTATATCCACACAATGGTACATGACACGGATAATCTGTGAAAAAAAATCATGCTCCTCTGCCTCCCTCTGGTCCTTCTAATGGCATTTGCAAGAACCCAGCACAGCTGAATGAAAACAACCAATCAGAACCGAGGAGTCTCTAAAGTCCCTGTCGCACCAAGCTGAAGGTCGGCTGTTGATCAGTGTCAGGGCGTCAGTGAGAGCCTGTCGCCGTAGTTTTTCAGGTGTGTCCCGCACTGCTGGCTCTCATCGACCCTTGTTAGCTTTTTTTTTTTTCCACCAGAGACGGTAGACCCCGTTGGTGAATGAAGTCACTTTGATTGGCAGTTCAGCTCAAGGCATAAGTACAAATCAAGTGAGGAAATTAAACAAACAGATTGAGTCAAGACAGAGTTGTTATCAGATTTTTTTAAGCCATTGAGCTCTTGAGCAGAAATGTTTTGTAACTGCATGAGTTATTGCTCACGTTGATTTGCGGCAGAAGTATAAATCCCGCTTTAGTTGCTGCTCATTCTCTGACGTCGGTTTAGTGTGCCTGATCCTTAAGCCAGCTATCAATCACGTCAGTCACTGCACATGAGATGCGGTCAAACTGTCAAACTAGGCAGCACTGATCAAATTTGAATCGAGATTCTGTTATTGCATTGCCTGTTTCTCGCCTATATTTTAGTACTGATTAGCTACAGGTACCAAACTTTCTCATTTTACAGTTATACAGTACACTAAAATAAGTTTCTGAAAACATTTGATTTGAGAAATAGGCAATGCAGTCACAAAATCTTAATTCAAATTTGATCAGCACTGCCTAGTTTGAGAGTTTGGCAGCAGGTGACTGACATGGGTTAGAGATTTGTCAGCTCTGATTGGTTGTTTTACTTCAGCTGCAGTGGATACTTGCAAATACTGTTAAAGGCACTAGGAGGAGGCAAGGGTGCATGATTTCTTTCTACAGATTACCTGTCTCGTATAATACTGTCAGGATATAGGGACACTTGTCTTAGATATGACAAAAGCGTATTTTTATACAAGTTACAAACTGCAGATGTAACATTTAATCACTACAACCATGAGTGGATCCTTACCTTTTCAGCCATTATTGCCACTCCCTCCCTCAGCTCGTGCACCATATCACTGATCTCCAATGCCTTGTTGTTGCTGTGGTGGTTGAAGTCTTGATTCTGATCCTGAGACATGCTGCGGTAGAGCTGGGACAGGGGGTCGCCCCAGGCCCCCAGCAAACTCAGAATCACCTCCGTCAGTTGTTCTCGCTGCACATGAAAGAGCTGCTTGAATAAGCTGACGGTAAAGTTTATATTATCTCTGACAACATGCAGTGATATCATCATATCTAATATTAATAAGACGAATGCTTACCCCCAGCCTCTGAGCATTCTCCTTATCATCTGGTGTTAGGATGCCATATGTGTGGCACTTGTGTTTTCCTACAAGATTCTTCCTGGGAAAGAAATATTGTTCCTGCAAAGACGGACACACGAATCACACGTGGTGATATCAGTGCTTGAAAACACAAACAAGGGTGACTGATGATGGATGAATGGCAGTAGAAAGGATTGATGGATGGTGACGGATAGTCAATGTCACGGCTGACTTAAAAGAACTCACGTATTCAGAGTGCAGATCACTGGAGATGCCGTGCATTCTTGAGGACTGTTGTATGACCCTGTCAAAGAGATCTGCCAGGGAAGGAACATGGCATGTAGCCTGTCCATAGGCGCAGATCGGAGCAGTGACAACAGTCATGGAAAGCTCCAGGTACACCAGCGAAAGAACAGCAAGCCAAACTGGAAGGAAAAACTTTTAGTCACTTAAGATCATAGCAATACATATAAATAAAAACTTTGCATTTAATATGTCACTTTGACATCTTACCTTTTTTCATGGTTCCTTTCTTGCAGTGGAGGACCAGATGATGAGTAGAGCTCCTTTCCCACCAGAGGTACTATTGCCAAGGCCAACTCACACAGTGAAGGAGTTGCTGATTAAACAAATTGGTTTATACAGGATAAATTCTTCTCTTTGTACGTCATATGCTTCGCTTAATTAACTGCTCAGTCATGAGCAGTCAAAGGGAACCCAGGCGCAAAAGATACTACACACTGTAGACAGGCATAGTAGGCAATAATAAAATAATAAGTAATAAGCATTTCAGTGTATGACATAAACAAAAACTTGTATAACTGTGCTTAGCTCTTCGTCCAAATGTGCTTCTCTCTAAGTGTAATAAAATCTGCTACAAAAGGAGATACAGGCTCCAGTGTGTAGGATTTAGTGCAGGGGTGTTCAACATTCACTATTAAAAGAGCCATTACTGGATAAAAAAAAAGAAGTAAAAAAATCAGTGTGGAGCTGCAAGACATATTTGAATAAAGGTAACAGCCTGTGAAGTCTAAATTAGCCCATCAATATTACTAGTACGTCTAAATGTGCAGTCATTAATACGATTTACTACAAGGTGGCTACTTTGCAGTGAGCTACTTATAATTATTTAGTTCTTTAACCGTGCAGCATTGGTGGTGAAAGCAAATTAATCTGTCCACATATTATTAAATCCACAACTTTTCCTTTTTTGAGTAAATGGCACCAGGTTGTAGAGGTGTGACGCACATTTTAGTCGATGAAACGTTAAAACTTCTTTTATTCTATGTAAAGGCTACACATTTTACAACTGTATAATGCAGTAATCACTTTAGGCCTTTGACAATGAAAAATGAAAATCTGAATGTTAAAAAATATAGATAACATCAAAGCCACAGGGAGCCACTGGAGAGGGTCCTCAGAGCTGCATGTAGCTCCAGAGCAGAAGCTTGCCTACCCCTGATTCAGGGAGATGTATTGGCAGAAATGGAATATGTTGTCATGTATGTTTTCTTTAGTGTATAATCACCTGAAAATAAGAATCATTGTGGATTTGTTCTGTCAGAATGAGCCATTTATATCTGCATAGGGAGCTGCTCTTCCTCCATGGAGTACGCCATGTTTCTACAGAAGCCCAAAACACACCAACCAAACACTGGCTCTTAATAAGCCCATTCATGTTTTCATTCCAGCCAGCATATTTAGCAGCCCCTCTATGATGAGCAGTGTTAAAAAGTGGTTTAAATCACTGGGTCTGTTTCTTCTGGAGAGGAAGAGATCTGTGGATGCGTCAGCACCCAGTAAAAACCTCCTGATTTATTTGCATAGAAGTCCTGTCTTGTTTTACCAGTATGCCTGCATAATAGATGTGATAAATCAAGCTGTTACTAACTCATATCTGAGAAATTTGTAGCCCAATTTGGTCAACTAACAATATCTAAATCACTTAAAAGCATTCAGCATTTCAGCATTTATTGTAAACTAAAAGACAGCTCATCCATCAGCAGCAAAACAGAACAATAAAAATAATAGTAGCACACAAAGGTATAGAATAACCCCATTGTTTAACAACCCATGGTAGAAGTGTTCAGCCTAGTAGTGAAAACGAGGCTATTCAAATGTAAAGTGGGTGATTTATCTTCTCATTAGTGCTGCATAGTATGGCCAAGACCACAGGCCATCTACAGTGAATACAGTCATGAGTCACTTTACAGGTTCAATTCTTATACAGAGCCATTTTCTATATTATGGAATGAATAATTTGTAAATGCAAAGCAGAAAATTTCCCTCACTGTCCCACCAGTTTATACCTGTAAAGTGACCTTGAGTGATTTGAAAGGTGCCTATAAATAAAATGTATTACTATTATTATTAAAGTGTATCGAGGCAAAAGGGAGTTTAATTCACATTTAAATGAATGCATGCATTTTGTAATTTTCTTATACTGCATTATATATTATCTCTGAACCTTTTCAATACCTGCAATGAAAAGGGGGCATGGTACTATTATAATGAGCCACTGCTCTGCTTCTCCATTAGTGTGCCCCCTTGTGGAGAAATGAGTGATAACAGTCTCATCACTCCTACCATCTGCTGTACAAAGTATGTCAGAGTTGCCACAGGTCTATAGAGGGCTGAGCAGTAAGGTCAGCGAAAGTGTTACTGTTAAGCATGACACATACAATGGTATTATTTTGCAGAAAAAAAAAAAAACATTTATTGTCATCTTTACACATACAAAGATGTCATAAATACACCAATATTCTTATAGAAAATATATTCTACAATCAATTTACATTAATTAATACTATGTACAGGTTTGAGTGCATTCTATTACTGTGTGCTGTCAGAGCAGGGATGAGATGTTGAGCTGCTGAGGGAGGCAAAGGATGATGATGTCCAGCTCTGCTCTTATATCCATTTAGCTTACACTCTCCATCTCAAAACTGCTGCTTGATTTTGTCTTAAATCAACTGTGTTTCAGGTGTGGAATCGTATTTGTTCTTGTGCGAGTCTACACTTCAAACACAGATTCAGAGCTCCAGTTTTTACATGTAAGCATCAGTTCACTCAACATCTATGGTGCTTCCACTTGCGAGTGGCCACTGCGATGTTAGCATCTCTTTTGTGCCAAGGGAAGAGTTGGCTGATAGCGAGGGTGCCATCAGGCTGCACAGAACCAGTCAGCACGTACAGCTGTGAGCGTCCAGGGCGCACGAGGGCGTTAGCGCATCGCAGGTTGATGAGGAGCCACTGCTGGAGTAGGTGCTGTGTGTCGTAAGGCAGGAGAGGTCCCTGGCGAATAAACTCAACACGGCCCTCAACCTCAAATTCTGGCTCTGTCACGGGTAGGCGATGGCGATGAAGTTTGGCAGTCACAGCTGTGGAGAGGAGGAAAACAAATTAATCATCCGCCTGGAAAATTACACACAATTGTGAAAAAAAACATGCACAAACAGAATCCACACCACCAAACCACAGCACAGTGAAATAATTCAGAAACTTACCAAAGTCATTCTGGCAAAAAGCATCCAAGACTGTTTTCATTGCCGGAGCCTCCTCCACAGACGGGCAGTTTTGGCAGGCAGGTTTGGGTAAGTCTGCGATAACAAATTAAACATAATTTAACAAAACTGCAGGGCAGAGTAATTACAGAAAATCTAACAGAGAAAGCACTTGGTAGTCCTCTCTGGCAATGAAGTGACAAGGCAGTAAAGTAAAACAGAGTTCTAGTAATTAGTCTGTGATCCATGCATACCTTTGGCAAAGTGGCTAAACTTTGCAAGAGGAGAGAGGCACATGTCTTCCTCGGCAGGAAAGCGGTCACAATCAAGTGCCTCGGGCCATGGGTGACCCTGGCAGGCGAGCACCGGGGCACAGCTGTCCCTCACTGCCACACACAGACTCCGGCATGGCTGGATAAAACTGAAGGAAAGAAAGACAGACTGTTACACAGTGTACTCAAAATTTCTGTAATAATAAAAGCAAAGTTTGTTCACAGAAAATAAAGAGAGTTAAAAGAACACATAATGTAGAATCTCCTTACGTGTCGAGACAGACAGGAGCAATGAGGGAGCAGAGGAAGGCCTGGGCTTGAGGGTGGCAGCCTGTCTGCAGCAGGGGTCTCCAATCCTCCGAACGAGGCACCACCTCGCCTTCCAGGTTGCTGTGACCCAAGAAGTTAGGCAGCCTCATCTCAGAGTATCCAACATCTTTGCAGACTTTCATTTGGTTGGGGATGGTGACGCAACGAGTCGACTGACCCATGTCAAACGCAATCGAGGGACATGCCATAGCCAGGAGAACCACACTGAAGAACACAGCCATGCTGACGAGTTCGCAAAATCCACAGAGTCCTCAAGGTAGACAGATGAGCCTTGTTGTCAGAAGTGTCTTCTGTCCTTGAATGACTGTGTAGCTCCCTCCCTGCTTTATATACAGCAAGGTCAGCCAGCCCCATCAGTCTGTAAGTCTGTTATCAACTACCTATCAAAGACGCAGAGACGATGTGTTTGGAGACAACGGCTTGTTTTGTGATGACTGCAGACAGTGGGGGGGTAATAAGCAGATGGAGGGCGTGTGTGAGGAGTGGGTAGGGAGGGGGGACAATGGGCAATCACAACAGAGCTTTCACTGAGTGAAGTACAGTCACAGAATCTGCTTCATTTGCTTTTGTAAGTCCAGGAGGACTTATAATGTGAACACCTCATGGAAAAGAAACTGAAAACTCTAACCCGTGGTGTTCAAAGTATCTACAATATGTGTCTAACTTAAGTGCTGCTACTTGGCACACAATCTTTGCAGTTTTTCAAAGTGACTCAGTTACCTCATAAGTGAATGATATTTTCTCCACTCCCTATATTATGTGTGCTTTGAGCACAATAAGTGAAATATTCTTTTTTCACATTGGCTGATATTCAAAAACAACCAAATCCCACGAAGAGGCTTTGCTGAGGGTCACAAAATGCATCTGAGGTTTTTGTAGACAGACAGGCAGTCTCTTTCATATTGCTAGTCTCTTTCATGTGTCCCTGCTTTCTAATTGGAGGACTTTATCGGCAGAGCCTCCAGTTCTCATTAGCAAAGCAGCGTCTCTTTTGGCTCACCTGGCTTTGATCTGCCAATAACACAAACATATGCAAAATACTATTAGGCTACCTTTTAGGCTGATGTGTTTGATGCATCATCAGCCACTGTACTGCACATGGCACTCGACACAAAGATCTGTGTGATGACTTAATGCAGTAATGTACACATAAATGTCCTTTAGACGAGATTTCAATGACTTGGATGGTACTTATCACCACAAATAGCCAGTCTGCTGTGACGCAGACGCATACACACTCAGTCATGACATGCCAACATCCCATGCAAGACACCAGAGATCTCGTCCTGAGATGCAGACCAGAGGCACAGACTTAAGTGCTAGTTTGTCTCGCTCTCTCTTTAACAATAGAACTACATTACAGCATCATCGGATTTGTTTGGATGTCGTCTGTCTCCAGATTTAGATGTGTATCTGGGGCCAATGCCTCTGGGCCTTTTGAGGCCTATCCCTCATGAATCAGAGGTCTCTATCCCACCCAGCCTGCCATGCTTATTGTGGATTCAGACATGCCAAAGTAAACCCCATTCAAGTTGGCCCTGCTCTCATTTCTGCGCCTGTATACCGGCTCTGTCTGCAGCAGGGTCTGTGCTCTCGCAGCCAGCCAGAGCCCTCCATCGGCCCCAGTGAAGCCAACTTTTACAGCCTGATCTGATGAGTGGAGGCTGGTTCCAGTTCGGGTAGACGAGTGCAGCCTGTAAGTGGGGGACTAACTGGGCAATTAGAGTCACAGACCAATTTAGGAGAACAATAGGCCCACACATTTAACAAGCTCCCCCTGCCAGGAGCCCAGCAGGGGTCTGTTGTTGAGCCTAATGGCTGCCCTGTAGACACTGTGTCTGTCTTGGTAATGTGTTGCCTGCCCCTGCCGCAGTTAATGAGAAGGTGATAGGAGTATGAGATGAATGGTCAGGCACCTGTCTGTCAAACATGCCTCACCCCTACGACAGACAGAACTGCTGCATCTTACTTAACACGGAATCGAACATTGTTTTTGCAGGTTCAAAGTCAACATATACATTGGATTTATGCGTTGGCCTTTTTGCTACTGAATGTCATCCCACTCCAATTCATATAGCTATAAAACTGTATATTTTGGGCTAAAAATCTGGCCAAATCTATATTGAAATCACAACACTGCATTGCCATTTTTCACTATACATACAAGACACTAATTTTCACAGACTTTGTACTTACAGGGCTGCTACCACTAAAGGCAAGTCAGACTTTTTAATGGTCCCACAGTTTAATACATTTAGCGTCATACTTGCGTTTGGCCGTGTTGTCGAGCTAGGTTGCTGTCTCTGCCAAGTAGCTGTCTGTTAGTCACTCACTTTACAGTAGAAAACAGCACTTCAAAATAAAAGCTATGTGCTGGAAATTTACTGTACTTAAAAAAAGTGTTTTTTACAAATCTGACACAATTGTGAGTCACTTGTGGTCCATTCAGAGTGGGCCCGCCTGTGACCCACTTGTTGGGAACCACTGAATTAAGGCCTTACTCTTGTAATAATCAATTAATATAATGCTTTTTAAAACTATTTAATGATTGGCAGGAACCCTGTATGAAGTAATTCTTTGGATTCAGCGCTGCCAGAAGTTGCATCAGGACTTTAACTTAAAAGAAATCCACCCTAAAATTAATTAATTGCTATCATATAACATATTTCCATGTCGGTGTGTATCTTTGTCACAGCTGACTGGAGCAACACAGGCATGGAGGACCCAAATGCAGAACAGCAGGCAGGTGGATGCAAAAAAAAAAAAAGATACTTATCGTGAAGCTAGCAGGCTTACAGGTAGATGAGGTGAACATTAGATAGACAGGCAAACAGGCAGGAACAATCAGCAGGAAAATAACCAAGAACTTAGGGAAACCACAAGGGCACATAAGCAGATGGTCTCAGTTGTTCAGAAACAATCTGATCGGATTTCAGCTATCGGATGGGATCAAATCCTGAAAATGGGTTGTTCAAAAGAAGAAGAAGAAAAAAAAGGATTCTGAAATTGAGTTAGATCACATAATCCAGTCTCGGGTTTGAGCTGGATCAAAGAACAAAGGAACTGGGCAGGTATAGGTAGAAGACAGTAGGAAAGTGGGAACAGGTCAGGGCGGGGCAAACAATAAGGCCGGTAAACACTGAACCAAAACACGTCTATGCTTCTCTCTGCAACTACAAAGTCAATGTATTCACTACATTCAGGGATCTTTTCTGCTGGTGCACATCATCCTTTCCAAATTCAGTCATCTTTAGCAAAGATAGCTGCTAAATGTGTCATATTTACAACAACAAAAATGTCTGTTTTTGCACGGTGTAAACAAGACAATCATTCACCATCACGGCTCAGTTTTGAGAAACTTTCCATTTAAGGTGAAAATAGAGAGGCAAGATGTGGTGCTTTCATTTAGAGAGAAATCTTGTGGCGGCTCCATACATAGTAAATTATAAAACAATGTCATCTTAAAAAGCACACGATGAGACAGGTAGTAATTTTACATTAAAATAAAGCCTTGAAAGGGCTATATTAAAAGGTTCTAAAAGCGCAGTGAGTCCCCACAGTAGTGACATTTGACCAACTTCAAACATGTCCCTTGAAGATCTTGTCAACTCTACTCTTACTGCTCCAATACCCAGCTAAAAAAGGATGTCTGTAGAGATGCAAGTTATTGCCAAAAACACTTGAAAAGAATAACATAAATTCTGTTTGGAGTATTTTCCCTCTACAGTACAGTCTCCTCTGGCAGAGCAGGACAGTAGAACAAACACCTGAGACACACATCAAAGACAGAGGTGTGTTTCAGAAGGAAAGGAGGGGGGACAAGGTGTCTGAGCTGGCCTGCCTTACAACACAGTGAATTCAGATAAAAGCTCTCCTTGCACATAAGAGACTCATTAACTTAAGAGGTGGAACCCCCGTTTGCCTCTTTTCTCTTCCTCCTATAACCCGCCCCCTCCCCTCTCTCCATCCTGCTGGGCTCCAGGAGGACTGACAGTCCCTGTGCAGACTGTCAGTAGCACTCAATTGTCACATCCAGTCTCCGGGCCTTGTGGGCAGACGCTGCCACGCCGAGGCGAGCAGACAACTTGCCCCCGGAAACTAGAGACATCTGTGGATCGACTCAATATGCTAACCCAGGGTAACACACTGAACATAAGAAGTCTGACATTCATCATGGACAAATAGTATCTGTGTAGTGTCTGTATAAGCAAAATGTGGATATAGTGTGTGTAGCTTTAATATTAAGCTTATTTCTGGCGTGTTTTTATCTTGTTTCAATTTCTCCCAATCACATTTTCCTTTGCTTTTGTCTCTTGAGCTGCTGTATCAAGTGAATCCCCCTGGTATGGGTTCAATAAAAGTCTCTTATCTACATAAAATGTTGACTTGTGTGACTAATATTGAACTCTCAAGAGAGCTCATTCTGGGAAACTGCTGCCGCTCTTCAAAACCAGGCCACTGCCATTCAAATCATTTCAGTAGCATTATTGTGCAGCCTTGGCAGATGAACAATGCAGAGCTGCTATGACGCAATTCACAATAATATACCCATAATCTGCGACAGTTTAATTGAAAAAAAAATCTTACGCACAGTCAAGCACATCAACTTAATAATCACAGGACACAGAAATAATTGTGCCGTGTACATGAGCGTCATCTTTATTCCTCCCCCCCCCCCCCACCCCCCCGAATGGAACTGCGTTTGGCTTTCACTGAAACAAGAAATTTCTCTTTTCAAACCAGTTCAGTCAGCACTGATTAAGACAGCTTTCAGATCACTTTGCAAACAGTCAAAAGAGAGGCAACAAAATGTGACGGGAAAATAAACTTAGAACACGATAAGACAGTCAGGCTGACGGAGCTGGGGTGCACCATCCATGATTACATCGTCCTCTCATGCAGTCCTTTGCTCCTCTGCAACTCTGTGGGTGAAAATATAGACGTGGGTTCATCACTACTTGGGTCACATAAAGTATGCTAAATAAATGCTTGTCTTGGAAATGTTTACAACCTAAAGCAGATTTAACTTCACCGAAACAAAAATATATTTACAGTCGGTATATCTAGTTGTTAATGGAATTAAAAACACCAAAAGTACAGAACCTGGCTGGAACCTGGTTCCTACAAAACACTGGTTTGTCAGCAATTCATGCTTTCAATTGACCCTTGCCGAGTCCCGCCCCCAGACACAGACTGGCCAATCATAACGTAGCATCGGGTT